CTCTCACAGGATTCTGAAGGAGCTGAAGAGTTTATCTCATATTGTAAGCACCCAATAAATGTACATTTATAATATCTAATAGGATTCTTAAATGTAATAGTCTATTCAGCAGTGGAATCCTGACACAGTTGTTATAGAAGCAGAGTGCAGAATCTTTTATCAAGTTCTTACCCTCACCTCTGACATCCAAGTTCCACACAAAACTACTAACATTTATTCTTCAAAATATAATAGTCTAAATGTGATTACATTTTAAAATAGTAATAGCTTCACGAGATAGTCTTATCTTCTAAGCAAACTAACTCTAACTCATTTTCAGTGATTGAGATTTTCCTTGAGGATTCACATGATGGGTTTTAGTGAATGTCGACCAAAGAATACTAAAAATCATCAAGAAAAAGAATGAGTGATAAAATGAGTAACAAAAGCTATAATTTGTAGATGGTTTATTATATACCAGCCATTGTGCTCAGCACTTTTTATGGATTAATTTAGTTTACAAATGATTCTGCGCTTATTTATTATCTCATTTGATGATATAAGATTATGGTAGAGGAAATCCAATCACACATTTTATTTCTGCCACTCCTCGTGGAAACTAGCAGTGCCGTGTTCATCCCTTGGAGACTGTCATCTCAAAGAGATCATAAGTTCTTGGAAGGCAGGGGCCATGCCTTGAATGTGGTTTCTCCACCCCTCAGAGAAGCTCTTCTCAGCTCTAGGCATATAGTAAATACTTAAATAAAGACATGCTTTCGAATGTTCTAAAAGTCACTATTTAAGATGTATTTGTAGAAAAGGGTAAAGATTAAGGATCAAACACACGAGTCTGCAGTCCTTGATTTAATCATTTGCTATTTATTTTCCTGAGGCACTTATTTTTTAAGCTTTCAGTATCTTCCAGCACAGAATAGGTGTTGACAGAAGCTATGTTTTTAATCTGTAAGCCAATTTATAAACACAACCTGAAAAAATGCTTGCTTTTTGGAATGTTTTAGAAAATGATACAATTGGAGGTTTCAAGGCTGCTTATGTTGCATCTTAAATATGTCTGTGTATGGTACTTATTTTTAAGATTGCTTCCTTTTTGCCTTCACAGCAGCAGTCACTTTATAGTTAGCATAACTGGCATTTCTCTTGGCAAATTTGATTTGTTTTAAATATTTTTATTGTTCTCCTTTTCTTATGAAACCAAGAGCCATAATCTTTCTTTGGCTTGTTTTTTTTTTGTTGTTTGTTTGTTTTCTGGTCTTTCATATTGTTTCCCACAGTATATTGTTCAGAAGACTAATCTCATTAGATATCTCTCACGAATGGATCCTATAATCAAATATGTTTTGAATATGCTTCATGAAATATGCATGTAAGAGGTTCACAGTGTATATTAGAATAATAAAATTTATGTATGTATGTAAGAATAATAAAAATTCTAAGTTATGAGTTAATCAAGTGTTTCCTAACATTTTTTGATCTCGGATAATACTCCTCTCTCCTGTATCTAGAGATGACACTTAAAATATTTAACAGCTAGTGCGCTGGCTCAACAGCCAGCCTGCTGCTCAACTGTCTGTCTCTTCTCTGTTCTTTCCGAGCCATGTCCCTAGGAGACTGAATTTCCCACATTTGACTGTGCAGGCATGACTGGAAGCATCTGTTGGCTGTGAAGGGGAGTTTGGGTTTGCAGATGGACCCTAGGAATTGCCTTCCAGGGTGCAGCAGTTCCTCCAAGGTCACTCTCTCCTCCGCTGGGGCTCAGGCTGACTGTCACAGGCAGTGGCATTCAGAACAGGTGCTGGAGCAAGTGTCTTGGGTCACCCAGTGACACTCTGCTGTTTCAGCCCTCAATCTTTCGGTTGCTGAGACTGTAAGGAGATCTGGGCATTTTCCAAGGAGGGGCCCTGGTGATGAAGCTGGTAGAAGTAGCCTCTCAGAGAATGTGGTGCAGTAAACTATTTGCCAACTGCTTCGCAATCATCGAGTGTCTTCACTCCTGTATCCCTGTACCAGTATATCCCAGCTGGTTGGTTGTTTTACCCATGAAACTTGTCAACACTCTATGTAATTCTGGTTCTGTGGGACAGCCACAGACAATTGCTTGTCTGTGACATTTGGGGTATATGGAAATAAATCAGTTTTTTTTTTTCCCCTCTTTCTATTAGTTACTATAATACCACAATGTTTAAACATTGAATTTGGCTTGAATTGAGAATTAACAAATTTTGATTCACTTTTTGAGCTTTGAAAAATCAAGGGGCAAAAATGGCACAAAAAGTAATGGCAGATACCTGAAGTGTCTGGGCTACTGATATTATAATAAGAGAAAAGTTCCCAGTAACATTGTAGGTTATCTGAAAAAGAAGTCATTCATGTAAATCTGAATTAGTCACTCCATTATCATCTTTCACACTTGAATTTCAGTTAAATGTGCACGCGCGCGCGCACACACACACACACACACACACACACACAGTTTGCCCTTGTAGTTGTAGTTTGTGTTTTGAATGTAAAAATATTCTTTGAGTAGCTCAGAGATTGAGTTGATAGAAATTATGGGAAACTAATTTTCATGCTTTTATAAACTGATCCCTGCTTCTCCTTTCTTTTATCCCACTAGAAAAACACAAACTGTTCTCTCATCCCCAACAGAGTTCTATCAATTTCTGCCTACCACAAAATTTATAAAATGTGGAAGTATTTGTACATTTAATCCTCTTCCCATCACCCCTCCATAGATTTTGCATCTATGTTTTTTGTTCTTGAACTTGTATCATTTAGAATACAAATAGAAAAAGTTATCCAATAAAAGGAGCTAGAGAAAGACTAGTTAAATTTTGGAGATAAGCGAGTCTCAGTAAGAAGAGAAAGCTGACTCAGTAAAACCATGGTAAGAGCAGGAAAAACTGGTTAAACACCAGGATTAGACTGAGTAAGGAAATAAGCCTCAGATATTTCTCAGAAAGTAGGAGGAATTTTCATGTCCAGATGAGTCTGATGAGAAAAAAAAAAAAACATGGAAGGAGAATTTAAAGAAGTTTGTCGTGGTTAATAGATAAGCTCTTCTGTGAAGAGATTAGGAATATTCTTCAAATATTCTTGGTTATTAAGCATTTGTTCGATTGGGCTAAAGTCCACATTGGTCCTGAGGAAATCTAGTTATATATTTGGATTACATAAGGTGAATTCTAATTTTTGATGCTCTGACTATAGCTGACCCCTGAGCAACACAGATTTGAACTCTTTGTATATCCACTTATTCATATTTTTTTTTATTAGTAAATACTGTAGACTCTACTATCTGTGGTTGAATCCTTGGATGTAGATGTTGAGAAACTGTGTATATAGGGGGCCAGTGATAAGTTGTATGCTGATTTTTGACTACAGGAATTGTTGGCACCCCAACTCCCTTATTATTCAAGTATCAACTCTACATTGCTTTTCTAAAACCCTACCCATTTTCCATTTTCAAGATCCATAGTCCTTCTGAGAAACTTTTCATAATACCTCAATCTTCAGTGATTTGGAGTGTAATCTAAATTCTATAAAGTATTATCTATATTTACTTGCTTATAATTTGTGTATATAATATTATGTATTATAGTCTAATATCATCTATATTTATCTATCTTATATAAACATTTTTTGGTAAAGAGCTCCCTGTATCTCTAGCCATAGTAAATTCTTAATTCCTTAATTCCTAGCTAATATGTTTTATAGCTTTCTAGCTCTGGTGCCTGATCCAGAGTAGGCTTTTAATGTATGACATTGAGGTTGATAACAGACAACTCTTCTATTTCATCTTTATGGTGTATGGAAATATGAAACTTCTATCATATCATAAATAAGTTTGAATAATTGCATTTTTGTGATTTTTCTGATTAAATCAAGTTTATTTTCCGAGTCTTATTAATTTTCATCTCTTTCGTTACATATAACACATTGCCACTTTCTTTTTCTGCCTTTCAAAGCTTTTGGATTCTTGAAAGTAGGGACTGTATCCTGGAACATAGCACAGAGCCTGGTTCATCTTAGAGGCTCTACAAATGTGAATGGATGAATTGTATTTTCTTTGGGAATCTCCTATATGTGTAAAGAAAGCTGACAGATTTTGTATTTGTTCTGTTTAAATTAAAAAAAAAAAACAAAGCTGTGGTATAATTTAACACAGAGCTTAGAGTCAGACTACCTAGAGTCAAACTCTAACTGACTTTGAAAAGATCATCCATGTTCATTCAACCACTTTCTTCAAATACAGATAATATTTCCTACTGAACTTGGTTGCAATGATGATCTAATAAGATGTACAATTCTGAAATATATAATAGAATTATAGAGAAGGTGATTAAGATCTGTTTATTCAGTCTAAATTAATAAGTCATTGACCAATGTCAAGAAAAGATGAGAGAATCTCCAAAAAAGACAGAGTCAGTGCCAAGAAGTAATATCCTCCCAACTCCAGGTGGCTTAACACTGGAAAAGGCCACCGAGTAGAACTGTGAAATTTCCCTTCCTATTAAGACATCTTCTTATTCTTAAATAATAAGAGAAGACTGAATGACCTTTGGAGGGACTAGCCCACCTTATATTCTATGACTCATGAAAGAAAACACAATTTGTAGATAAATCAAGAGAACCTACTTTTCCACTGTGCCAAAGATAAAGCAGAAGTTTGGAAATGTCAGATCTAAGTAAAAGGTCTTTATTTCTTAGTCTTGATTCAAGGGACACCCTCAATCTTTGAAAATTAAACACATTCTCTAAGCAATGCACGTACCTTAAGGAGCAGTGAGAGATGGAGTTTTAATTTTTACCAATTCAATTTAAATGCAAATGTTAACCACTCACATGATGCTACTGTGTACATAATTAAGCATCATTATATACTACATGAATCATTTAGAAACCTCTGGAGAACCATTCTACTATGTAAAACATGCATTACACTGACAAGCAGGCAAATGACGTATACTTTTGTCCTCATTAATGCTCCTTTTGAATTATAGGTCAACTGATTATGGGACAACCTATGAGAAGCTGAATGATAAAGTTGGGTTGAAAACGATTTTAAGCTATCTCTACGTGTGTCCTACCAACAAGCGTAAGGTAAGAAGTGTGTATTCAGCATGCTGTTTATTCATGATGTGACTTCTGTCTTGGCCGCCTCACCTCTCTAAACCACCTAAAAATCCATTACAGTTAAGCTTTAAGAGATATAAAGTTGAGTTGATGGATGTTAAGGTGGCAAAATGTCTGACACATCATAATTTTCAGATCAGCAGCTGTGAATGTAGGAGACAGAGAGGCAGATATATCATTATCATTTCCAAAAGGCAGCTATAGGGAATGTCCTGTTGTGTGGATGTTCCAGACTCTTACAAGAGCTCTGACCAATCAGTGGCAGGAATCAGAATGAAGCTTGACAAAACAAAAGAAAAGATAGGATTTTCATGCAATGTCCACCTCTATTCCCTTGACATGGAATAAATAGATTGACTAGAATTGAAGTGAATGCATTGTCCTAAGCAGGTTGGAAGTTTTGTTTCTAAAGTTTATTCAGATTGCACCCAAATGTCTTGTTGGAGGCAATGCTGGAAGGAACCCTGAAGATCATCATATACCGCATACTAATTTTACAGATGAGGAAACTAGAGTTCAGAGAAAGAAAATCACTTGCCTCCGTCACAGAGTTATAGGCACAGTTGGGACAAGAATCCAGCTTTCTTGTTTGGCGATCATCCTGTTTCCACTGCATTATACTGCCATCATGATGAGAAGTTATTTATTCTTCAGTGAAAAGTGAAAGTGTTATTGCTCAGTCATGTTCAGCTCTTAGCAACCCCATGGACACTCCTCTGTCCTAGGAATTCTCCAGGCAAGAATACAGGAGTGGGTAGCCATTCCCTTCTCCAGGGGAGCTTCCCGACCCAGGGTCTCCAGCTTTGCAGGCAGATTCTTTACCATCTGATACATCAGGGAGCTGTCGTGAAGATAGGGTTTATTTATTCTTTAGAGAGGGATGTTATTTTCTTAGGAAGAAAATAATATTTGCTTTTAAATGAGAAAGACCTATTTGTTTTAGGAGGAGAGTGGTGTTACATTCATTGTCTGGTTTTAAAAATTTGCACTATCAAATTCTGACATGTAATTTCTAAGTATTATATAAGTTATATGAATAGATAAGAATATCTATCAGGAAATTATCTATCAGAAAGGTTGTTCATTTGTCCCAAGCCATGTTCTGTTCTGTTGGTAGCCCTGATACCTATGTTCTCATTTCAGATCTGTCAATAGGTACTATCATTGACCTTGAACAGGTAGGTACTACATTTTGTCATCTGGCCTGTGGAAGGTAGATTAGTATATCTGTACAGTCATCCTCCACTCTAGCTGTATATTCAGAGCAATGGGCATCGTAGGGTGTGCAAACCTCTGCCCTACCCCTGTTGCTCTGGTTTAGGGCTCAGGGAACTATATCTTGAGCAAGTTCCTCAGGTGCTTCTGGTATATATCTGGGTTTAAGAACCGCCTAGATAGGGTGTAATATTTCTTCTTGCTCTAAACATTTCAAGTTTTTCCATTGGAGCGGCATAATTTTCCGTTGTGCATAGACTCTGAAGTCAGATGGCTTGAGTAAAAACCCAGCTAAGCCAATTAACAAGTATATAACTAAGGTGATTTACTTAATCTCTCCTAGCACAGTGTCATCAAATTGAAAATAAGGGTAATTATAGTACCTACCTCAGGAGGAAAGTTTTAAGGACTACATTAACTAAGGCACTTCAAGTGTTTAGCACAGAATAGCTAAGGCCTTATCATATTTTCTCTCTGCTTTATTCTCCTTGGCTCATCTTTCTTCTCCTCCTCCATCAAATAATTACTGGAAATAATAGTAGTGACCATCCTCTATAAATATCAGTGTTTAGTAGACTTTCTGCAATGATAGAAATGTTCCTCTAAGCTATCCAGTGCTATAGACTCTACGCACTTGGGGCTATTACTTAAATTATGGCTAGTGTGCCTGTGGAGACAGATTTTACATTTAATTTCATTTTAGTTAATTTGAATGTAAATAGCCACATGTGGCTGTTGGCCACAGTATTGGGCAGCACAGTTAAATAATGTCAGCCTCACAAATTTAGAGGTTTACACTGAACGTTCCTATCTTGCCCTTCCTGACTGATGACTGGTCCAGCATCAACAATTACCTCTAAACAATTTTGATCTGTTGTATACAGTCCTAAATTGAGGAGCTGAACTTATATCCTTTATTTTTTATAATGAGATTTATCTGTGTTTGTTAGCTTTGAATCAATTCTTGTAATCTCTATTGATTTTTCCTCTAGTACACATTTTTAGTAAATTTTACTTAACAATCAACCCATTGTAGGCACCATAAGATATAGAAAGAAATAAGCCAGCTTTCCACCCTCAGAGATCCTGTATTCTAGTAGTAAATGCAGTATGACTTTTTTCTGTAACTAAGAAGTCTCTGACTCTGCTTCCACCTAGCAGGTGTCTTTGGGTGAGTCGTTTACATTTGTAAAGTGATATAGTCAAAATAAAGGAATTTACATCTAGAAGAGACCTTAGAATTGTTCTGATCTAGGGATAGTCTCTGCTTTATTAATGCCATTAGAAAGGAATATGGTTTTTAAAAGTCACATGCAAGTACTGAGTGTCAGCATAGGCTTTTCTGTAGCAGCAGAGTACGTGGCAGTGACCTGAAAGCGACAAGATTGTTAGCAGGAACAGGACTTGCAGAATGAGATCTCAAGTCCAAAGGCAGCTCCTAAAGCAAGAAGGAAAGCTTAGACGTAATACAGAAAGGAGCCCTGCCATCAAACCTTTTGATGTCAACACATCAATGTCAATCAAGGTGCATAGTTAACTATAGTTACTCGAGGGACTTTCAAAAAGACATTTGGCTATGGGCATTTAGCTGAAATTAAAACCCGGCTATTCCTTTTTCCAGAGAAAAAGAAACTGTTGCCCATGACTCTGAGAACAGCTTTCTCAGTGCAGATTCCCTTCCAGAAGCAGAGGCAGGCCTGAGCTGTTTAAATCACGATGTTTATGGGTGAACCTAAGAGAAGGGATCTTTTCCTCTACAGATAAATGAGGCTTTCAGGGTCACTTTCTGAGATGCTGATAGATTTAAGAAATATTGGAGGACGATGAAGGTCTTTACAATGGTGCAAAAATCAATAAAGTTGACATAGCAGTATATTTGTGTTCAGTTTTTCTACTTATGAGGTGAATTTATCACCATGAAATATGGACTTTTCCCCCCCAAAGGGACATACTTGAACCAAAGAGATAGTACCTGCCCAACATTTTACAGTGTGAATATATTTCCCCCAATCAATGAGAGTTTATGTTTTTTTAAAAAAAAAAGCAGCAGAAGAAGAAAAGAAATATCAGGCTGTATTAATTATGCAGGACAAAGGCATTCAGGTTTGCTCTGATTCTCCTAGGACTTCTACATCCTCCAGTGAAAAGGCAGTCTCCTTTTAAGGGTAGTATTAATTCTTTTAAGTCTCCGGGGTGCTGTCTAGCAAGTTAACATCTTTTGTACCAGATACTTCTCTCTCCTCTTCATATCAGTGAGAGCAATTGGAATAAAACTGACATCAGAGTAACTGTCTTACATTCCCAGGAACCCGTTTTGCCTTCCTGTTCTTCTTGCTATTTTTAGCAGCTTGTCAGGACAAGCACAGTTCTTCAATCAACATGTCTCCAGCAGTGGGCCTCATGCCCTGGCTTTCCAGGCAGCTTGTTAGGGGGCATTACTGGGATCAGCCTCCCGAACAAAACAGGCCCATATTTACAGTTTAAATTGATGATCATTCATTGACTGTTTCTCTGCAAGCCTGCTGTAAATTACAGCAGCTTTCCTTGGATTTGTCTGTTACAGTAAAAACTATAATCTCATCTTAGGTCAGTCTAGGCAATCTTAGCTGACTGAGAGACGTAGAAATCTGGCTCCCAGGTATTATCCTAGCTCAAACATCCTCTGTGTCAAAGCAACTCGACACCTGGCCTCAGATATATGCTGCTGCTGCTGCTGAGTCGCGTCAGTTGTGTCCGACTCTGTGCGACCCCACAGACGGCAGCCCGCCAGGCTCCCCTGTCCTTGGGATTCTCCAGGCAAGAACACTGGAGTGGGTTGCCATTTCCTTCTCCAACGCATGAAAGTGACAAGTGAAAGTGAAGTCGCTCAGTCATGTCCGACTCCCAGCGACCCCATGGACTGCAGCCCACCAGGCTCCTCCATCCATGGGATTTTCCAGGCAAGAGTACTGGAGTGGGTTGCTGTTGCCTTCTCCATCAGATATATGAGGTAGGCTCAAAAGTTACAAGGGTGAGTGTGTACAGGTGCCAGAGGAGAGGCAGGCTACCTATCTGTCACCATGCCTCTAAGGGAACACACTCCCCCCCTCCCAGTTTATGATAAATCCCAAGGCTTGCTGGATTCAGAAGTAATTTATTGGCTACCTATATATAATCTTCTGTGAGGAAAGATGATTTAACCTGTACCTGAAATGGACATCTGGGATGTAGAGGGTGATGGGAAAAAGTAATACAAATGTATCATAGGAAAAAAAAAAATTAATGCTGAAACCTAAGTCTTACTCTTATATTCCCACTGAGTTTATTTGTTTTCTGACTAAAAAAGGAAAACTTCTTTATATTCCATGTGCATCTGTCCGTAAAACCTTACCCATCACTTCCAACCAACCTTAGCTATGCTCCCTTCATGCAGTGTTGTAGAACATCTTCAAGGATTAAAGAATACAAAATCCTAAGTGGAATCCATCGGGAAAGAGAGAAGAAAAAAAGTGTTTTGTTTGTTTTTTTTTTAAACTCAGAACAGCCAATTCATTTAGTTGTTATATGCTTGTACTCTCTGTACAGTATGTTCCCAGCAAAGAAAAAACCTAGAGATTATTTGTTCTTTATGTTTGCTGTGCCCCCTGCATATCCCAGTTCCTTCTTCTTTCTGTGTTATAACCACTTAATTAATATCGTTCCTGCTGAGAGAGCCTTCCAAGACTTTCATCCTATAAATAGGATCCTGGCTCTCCAGAACACATTGATCATTC